TCTATCTATCTATCTATCTATCTATCTATCTATCTATCTATCTATCTATCTATCTCTCTATCTATCTATCTATCAGTGACAGTGACAACAAGGTACCCGTGAGACAGCGGCTAGAGGTGGAGCTGGCCCACAAGGTGATGGCTATGGCCGTGTAGTTGTAGCCCATGACGGCGCAGGGCAGGCCGAAGAAAGTGACCACTTGGAAGATCTCGTAGTTGAGAGCCGTGAGAGGGTCACGGGGGGCACATGTGGTCAGGAGAATCGTCAGGTTGGGCGGAATCATGGGGTCGTGCATTTCCTGTGTGAAGCGAGACAAGAGCAGGTTGTTTTTAAAAATAGGATGATAGTATGATAGGACGATAGGATGATAGGATGCTAGTATGCTAGTATGATAGTATGATAGTGTGATAGTATGATATATAGGACGATAGTATGATAGATATGATGATAGGATGATATGATGATATGATGACAGTATGATAGTATGATAATATGATAGCATGATATTATGATAGTATGATAGCATGATATGATGATAGGGTGATAGGATGATAGGATGATAGAATGATAGTATGATAGGATGATGGTAAGATAGGATGTTGTTTTAAATAGGATGATAATAATATTATGATAATTGAGAAATTAACACCTCTCCCCCCCCTCGTCACACATCTATCCCTCACGTACCCACCCATCCACCCACCCACACAAACACACACACACGTATCCACTCGACCCCTTCCCCTAAAGAAACATACGCACACATAGACACACATACACACACACACACACACTCACACACATACACACACACACACACACACACACACATACACATGCACACACGTATATGACATGCATCTTTGTTTTGGACTCAACACTTCTTACGTTTACTTAAAACACAGTCCTGCCTGGATTTTTACAAAAAAAAGCCATAGATCAATAGTACATAAAATGTAAGTTTGTAGATTCCAAGGACACTTCAACTTTGAGAGATACTAAATTTTGGCGGCCATTTTCTCGTTAATTTTACTTCTGACACCATGTCCACCCCCCCCACACACATTTAATCACAAATATTTCGACTTACACTCAAGATAGACGGGTACATTTTCCCGCAAAAACTCGACAAATTAACAGTTTTTAGGATTATACCAGTAACCCTATGCTGTATAAATTTTTTAAAATGACGAGCGCCTGATTCCACTGCGTCATGATACTCAAGTATTTTTGAGGCAGCGTGGTGGAATCAGGCTCTCGTCAAAATATTCAAAGTGAAGAAGCTTGCTTTTTTCCGCAGGTTTGTGAATTTTTATCAAATTTTTATTTTTTGGCTTAACACCTTTCATGCTCATTTAAGAACTCATTTCTGTGTGGAATTTTCTTTATAAAAACCGTTGATTAAATGCACAAAAAACGTAAATTTTCAGTTACAACGAACTTTTAAGCTAAGGAAATAAATAATCTTTGCCGGCCATTTTCTCTCAAATTTTACCTCTGAAAACAGGTGACCCCCACCCCCTTCTTTTGCAAATATCTCAACTTGTATTCAAGATAACTGGATATTATTTTCACCAAATAAAGACAAGCGAACAGGCTTTAATATGGTACCAATAACTCTATATGCCCCAAAATTGACGAGAGCCTGATTCCACCACGCTGCCTCACATTTTTGAGGGCTGATTGCTCCTTCCTCCGAATTCTTCTCGCTTTCAGCACAAGATGACGAATTTGAGGGATGCGACATGCAGAATAATCGTAGTCTTAAATCTCATATCTTCACATGTAGACAAATCTTCTATTACATTACATTCTTAAAGGAAGGATAAAATTGCTCGCTCGCAGAATTAAAGAGAGAGATTAGAATCAGAGAGAAAAGTGGACAAGAGAAAAGACAGGAGTAAGAAATATTGCGCTTTTGACATGGAGATCATAGCCTCTAGAAACAAAAGAAACATTTCATAATAGCGAAGAAGATTTGTTCTGGGAGCTCATCTTCTCTTCTCTCCTTCTCTCCCTGACCTCTTGCCATGACCTTTTCTTCTTTTCTTACTCCTCAATCGTATGCGTGTGGTTATTTATGGTGGGGAATATATTTGAACGAAGAATGAGCTATGCCGATAAATAAGAGAGAGATAGAGAGAGATGGAGAGATAGACAGATATATAGACAAATAGAGAGAGAGAGAGAGAGAGA